CTCAGCACAGCCTCAGCCAAGCCTTTGGTCCTAAGGCTGTGCTTATTTCTATGAGTGACATGAGTGTGTCCCTGTTCCTGGCACAAAGTGCACCCAGAAACCCTGTGTAAAAAGCAGCTTGTCCCTCCCGCTCTGCTGGCTGTGTCCGACCGCACCCAAGGGTGGAAGGCAACGAGGACCGGGGGACCCTGGTGCTGCCTTTGCCGGTGGTTTGCCCGTGCTTTGCAGGCGATGGTAGGGATTGCGCCCCAGCAGAGACGTCCTTCCTCCAACACCAACAGCAGCTCCTGCTGCAGTCCTTGCACTCAGGAGCCGATCCCCCATCCCGCCTCACTGGCCAGCAAGATGTCCGAACTCACCAGCTAAATACACCTTCAGCTTTAATAAAACACCTCTTGTTGTCAGACACACCTGTATGTGTACCCAGATACGCACTATACATGTATACGCATGTATGTATACATGTACCCCATGCTGTGTCACACAGCAGTGATGACTGAACACCTCAGTGCTTGGGGGGGGCTCCTGCAAGCCAGTGCTTTAGCTCCAAACCAGTGTCTGCCCATTCCTGTAAGAGAGCTGCCTCGCTAGCAGACCCCGAGCACCCATGGGTGAGCACCCTGCTCCCAGTGGTGCTGTCCTCAGCTCTGCAGCGTGGAGGTGGCACAGGGGAGCGCAGGGTCTTCCCCCTGCTGCTGCCATGTCCCAGGCTGATGACCCCCTCACACCCGTGGGCACAGGAAGGGCAGCAGGAGAGCCCTGGGAGCGCGGGGCTCACTGTGCCATCAGCTGGCCGCAGGCTGCCCAAGCCTATGGCACAACTGGCATTGTGGGGCCGTGCCACAGGAGCCATCTGGCAGTGCCTCCAGCCCAGACTTCGCAGTCCGCTCCCGGTGTGGAGTCAGTCTGTGCGGTTTAGCAGGGAGCAAACAGTGGCTGGGGTGCACCCATGGTCCGGTGATGGCCCTCGAGCCCAGAGCCAGCACAGCCGCCTGCCTGGGCGCACCATTACCTGCGGGGATGCCCCTAGGCAGCCTTCCTGTCCTGCGTGGCCAGGAGCTGGGAGATGCAGTAAGGGATGAGGCCGACGGTGGCCAGTGGCACGGCTGTGCTCTTGCAGAAGGAGAGGACGTAGAAGAGCAGCTGCATGTGGGAGGGCGGCCTGAAGGCGTCGAAGAGGTGTAGGACGAGGAGGGAGGCAGCGACGCAGCCCAGGCGGAAGGGCAGCTGCCGGCCCTGCTTCCCCCGGCAGCTCTCCATGTACATGTGGGAGTTGAGGGCCAGCCCCAGCCCGAAGAGGATGCCCAGGTTACGGAGGAGGCTGGCAAAGGGGGTGGTGTCAATGTGGACCCACTCGGGGTGGGCACACCACCTCTGCGCCTTCTCCAGTGTCCAGAGCAGGTCCACGCCGAGTGCCCGCAGCAGCAGGTAGAAGCCCAGGGCGAAGCTGAAGAGGAACAAGGTGATGCCCAGGTACCGGCGAAGGCTGGCATGGTAGATGCAGCGGACGTGCTGGAAGGTCTTGGCCACGGCCATCCCTGCC